AGGAAAAAAAAAAAAAAAACGGAAGCAAGGAAGGAATGCATGGAAGCCGAGACAACGGGGGTGCGAGAGGCAACCCAGTACTCAACCTTCAAGGCCCATTTGTATCCAACACGACAGGGCACCCAAGGGTGTCAAACAAAGAGCCCCGTTTGCAACCAACAAGGAGACCACCAGGTAATAACACAAATTGAATTGTCTCCCCGTCCCTTCCCCAGCCGCAGTAGCCTCTCGCAAATTTGCATGTGAAAACCCCCCCACGACCGAGCCTCTCCACGTCGAAGGGTAAACAAAACGGCTTCGCATTCTTCGGGAATCTAGTTCGTCGTCCCGTCCCGTCCCGCCCACCCACGCGGACACCGAATCGGCAAAAGCGTCGACCGCACCGCGAACGAGACAAAAGGCCGTACTCACCCAAAGGAACAGCTCGCCCTTCCTCCTGAAGCACAGATACTGGCCGCTGGCTTTGGACCGTATTCGTATGAGAAGAATGGGACCGGTGGGACCGGGGTTATCGGTGGGACTGCGGGGGCCGTGGCAGTTCAACTCGAACGACTCGAAATCCCACTCCACTGCAAACGAGACCGGAAGGGCCAGAGTAAAACTCCATGCGACAAACCGACAGACGCGTCCACTCGACGCGACGGGAGCCAACCGCTCGGCGTCGAGCGCGATCCGCCGCCACCGCCGCCCGCGACATCCACTCACTGGTTTCATCGTCGTATTTCAACGGTGAGCCGCCGGCGTCGATCCGCTTGTTCCCCTTCAGCTGGACGAATTTGTTCGTTGAGGTGCTGAGTATCTTATACGTCTTGATATTGCTCACTCGACCGCAAGAGGTCGAATTGGTTCTGGCTTTGGTCGGGTTTGGGGTCGGGGCCGACTCCGTCGAGAGCACCATCATCACCATGAAGAATGCTAACTTCTTGGCTGCCAACCTGTCGGTGGAAAAAAAAAAAACTGGCAGTGGGAAAAACTGCAAACCGTCAAGAGATCAAGACGAGGCAAAAAAAAAGGCGAGGAAAAAATAACACGCGAAGATATTCAAGAGGTGGGGGCCCTACAAATTGCTGAATCACATGAGCGACACAAATAGCCGAAAACAGGCGTTAAACGTCCCTCAAACCTGACGACCACCCCGAAAAGGAGCACGAGGCCACCGCTTTTAATTAAGATAACAGACCAGGCTTTCCCCGTGACGCATAAACGACTCCCTTGCTTAATAACGGGGTATCTCGAACGGCCCCCTCTCATTTCCGAGCATTCGATGCTGCCGCCCCCCTTTGCCCCCCCTTTTTTCTCGACTTCCCCGTCGCAGGCCACGCCATAGGCCACACGCGAAAACCTCGAGTGAAATGAAGAAAGTCCTTATCTCTTGTTTACGCCTCACACCCCTGTTTTCACCGATCCCGTTCAGCCCCATTTTTATGAATGCTTTCCGCCTCGGTGAATCCGACCCGGAGGGACGGACCATCATCACAGAATCTGTCACAGAATCCACCACAGAATCCGCCACACCGAAAAGAAACACCCCACGGGAAATTTACGAAATTCTCCCAGAATTCACTCCAGGGTATTTCCCCGCACCGAGCCCGACGAGACCCTCCGAATTGCCCACCGATATTGGGAGATTGCTGGCCGATTCCATGGAAAATCCCATCCGATCTAGACGGCGGAAGAGATAAGGATTTTAAAGGCGCCCACGCCAAGGTCGATAAGCAGGCGGTAATTGATAATAAAGACCATGAG